GAGAATGGAGGAGAAGGGATTGCGGAGTGGCCATCCCCCGGGGGGGGCAATTTCTCACTTTCTGTCTCTCTGTCTCTGTCTGTCTGTCTGCTGTCTGGCGAGCAAACACGTCCTATAGCGAAAACTTCTCCAAAAAAAAAAAAAATCCTAAAAATTCTTTGCAAGGGACCAGCAGTTGGCGGAACGGCTATGTGACTGGACTCCCATGTAGTCGGCCGCAGTAGGTGGCTTAAACTCACGCCGGGCGCGTGTGCGTGCGTGCCCAAGATCCTGAGAAGAGAATGGAGGAGAAGGGATTGCGGTGTGGCCATCCTCCCTGGGGGGTGATTTCTCGCTTTCTGTCTCTGTCTCTCTCTTTTTAGCGAGTGCACGCGCCCTATAGCAAAAACCTCTCCCAGGTACAAAGGGGAAATAGAGGCGCCAAGCGCTGGGCTCTGGTCGGTTTCCAAGCGGTCCCGGGCTGCTGGCTGAGAGGGGACGGTGGAGAGCCGGCTGGGTGGGAGCCTGGGAGCCCCCCTCAGCCCTGCCCTCTCCCCACAGGCCCATGGCCGAGAGCTCCCTCTACCGGCAGCGGCTAGAGGTCATCGCTGTAAGTGACGCCCCACCCCGCCTCGAGGCTCTGGACTGCGCGCTGGGATCCCCAAACTCTCCCCACGCTCCTTCCTCTTCTCCCCCATCCCTGGAAGCAGGCTCAGGACTGCAAACGGGGTATCAGCGCCCTCAGCTCCGGCCTTGCCCGGGACGCCCCACCTAAATCCTCAGCCCCGTTCCGGGTCAGTTCCTCTGTCTGGTCACTACCACCCCAGAATGACGGGGTGACAACGTGGTACCCCCAGAATCTTACCATCCCAACTCCCTTTCGGAAGGCTGGCCTCCCCGGAACCCCGCGTCTGAGTCCTCTTTCTCCCGCCACCTCTCCAATCGCCCTAGCTTGGACCCCCATCCCTGAAGCCCTTCCCTAGAGACCCTCCATTTCTGACTCCTGTCTCTCTGGATCTCCATCGCTCGGATCCTGTCTGACCACCTTGGCACCCTCGAGTCTGCACCCCTATCTCACAGCATCCCATCTTTCTGTACCCCATCTCTGATTGCTATCACTGCACCCTCTCTGACTCCCTTTTAGCAACTCCATCTCTGTGCACCCCATCTATCTCTGCACCCCATCTCTGCACCCCACGTCTCTGAGCCCCCCGTCTCTTTGCACCCTCATAGCTCTGATTCTCATCTTTGCACACCCTCTCTGCACCCTTTCTCTGACTCCCTTTTAGTACCCCTATCTCTCTACACCCCAACTTATCTATCTCTGTACCCCACTTCTCTATTCCCATTTTTGCATCCCACCTCTTTGCACCCCATCTCTCTGCACCCCATCTCTGCACCCTGTCTCTCTGCAACCAGTCTCTCTGCACCCCTATCTCTTAGCACCCACATCTCTTTGCACCCCAAATGATCTATCTCCAGACCGCATTTCTGTCATTTCCATGTCTTCACCCCCATCTCTCTATCTCTGCACCCCATCTCTAATTCCCATCTCTGTACCATCATCTCTCAACCCCACCACACCCCAGTCTCCTCGGACTCTCACGACTGCACCCCATACCTGGACCCCCATTTCTGGCGGACCCCCACAGCTCTGGCCCTCCTCCTGGCCTTCAGCCCCAGGCCCCGCCCTCGCACCCCGCCCCGGGCCCCAGACCCCCTTTCGGCTCGGCCCGGCCTCCGCAGCATCG